TAGGGTGTCATGAAAGGCATTAAACTTATCTAGTGTATATTGAATTTTGTCTTTTGGGAGGCACATTATGCAGTCATCCACATATCGTTTAAAAATTCACATTTATAGTTTAATTTAGATATTGTTTGTTCTTCCAAATTTTCCATTACCAAATTTGCAATTGTTGCTGCTATGGGAGAACCCATTGCTACTCCAAATATCTGTGAATAGAACTTGTTTTCGTACTGGAAATATGTGCATTTTAAGCACACTCTCCTCACTTTCATCAGCTACTGAAACACTTTCATCAACTACTGAAAAACGTCCCTCACTTTTATCAGATCCTGAAACAGTTTCCTCACTTTAATAGCTATTTAACCAAAACCGAATTTTTCAGGAACTACTTGAACTTCATTATTGAAGAGCTCAAAGACCCTGTCAGGTAAGGCGCATCCATCGACTTACCATTGACTTTTCAGCTTCTAATTTTTTTGCAGAAATCTTCCCCTGGCCATAGCGATATCGTGCACTTTGGTCACTGTAGTCTACGTGCTGACCAACATTGCATTTTACACGACTTTATCGCCCGAGGAGATTTTGGAGTCGAATGCTGTTGCAGTCACTTTTGCTAACAAACTTTTCGGCCCTTTTGCCTTGTCCATTCCGGTGTTTGTGGCGCTGTCCACATTTGGCGCAGTCAACGGGATCCTTCTTACGTCTTCCAGGTGTTTTATTTAGGAAAATTAAATGCGAATCTTTGTGGCTACTGAAGTCGTTTTCCAGACTGTTCTATGCTGGCGCCTGCAACGGACAAATGCCTGAACTGCTCACAATGATCCAAGCGCAAAGGCTCACTCCAGCTCCATCTGTTCTGGCTATGGTAGGGAAGTTTCCCCCGATTCTTCAACGTTTTCATTCGCTCCTTGTTCCAGGCGTTGCTATCAATGCTCTATTTGACTGTCTCCGACATCGGAGCCTTGATAAACTACGTGGGCTTTGCAACTTGGGTAAGTTCACATCGGGCTTACCAGATTAGGTGAGGTAAAATAAATCATTCTCCCTTCCAGTTGAGTATAGGGGTTTCGGTCCTCTGCCTGCCCTGGTTGCGTTGGAAGCGTCCAGATCTGGAACGGCCCATCAAAGTCAACCTCTTCTGGCCCATTTCGTACATTTTAGCAACGATCTTCGTTACAGTGGTGCCAATGATAGCGAGTCCTTATGAAACAGGAATGGGCGTTTTGATGATACTTTCCTCGGTTCCTGTGTACTTCTTATGCATCGCCTGGACTAACAAACCGGTTTGGTTCCAAAGTGGTTTGTGTTTCATCACGGTGTTGATTCAGAAAGTTTTGGTGGTTGTTGGTAAGGCTAAGAAATCGTCGGTGTAAAGCGCACGAAAGGGACAATGTTTCTTGACAAAAGTTTGAGAAATGTTGATGTTTTTCCTTTGCTACATGTACTATTTAATTAAATAAGAGTCTGATTGGGAAGTGAGGACTAATTGGTTTTTTAACTAAGAACTGTCAAGGTTTGGGTTTCTGAGGTTTTTATTCTTGCTTGGAACTGAAGAGTTTTGGATCGTGGCGAACAATCAGTTTTTGAAGTTTTCCACAACGGCCTAAAGCCCTAAAAACTCTTCAATTTGGCAAGAATGTTGCTTAG